CAGGTAGGGCCCAGCGAAGGGCGGCCTAGCTGGGAGGGCCGAGCTACCGGGGTAAACCGGCCTGTCGTCTCGGTGCGCGACACTGGCCGTGGTCCTTTTGACTTCCCGCTTGGTACTTTGGTCTGGTTCGCTCGTAATTGTTAAGCTTAATCGTTCTCGAGGTGTTCTCAGAGGGTTCCCGCGGCCCCACAGCGGGTGAGGGAGCGTGTGCGTCCAGCGGGCCCTCCCCTGCTAGTCAGGCACTGCTCGAGCACCCTCAAAAGTTGGTAACTCTGTGGGCGCGACATGATGGCTAATGCAGCATCGCGGCCTCTGTGCGAGGTAAGGCACGGGCCTGGCAGGCCCAAGCGTGGTCATGAGGCGGCACGTCAAGGAGGCCGCTGACCCGAAGGCCCTCGGCTCTGCCCTGCGCTCTTCAGCTCTGTGAAATGGTGCCCTAAGCAAAACGTAACGGCTTGGGAAGAAAGAAACCACATCGGACCCATGGGATCTCATTCTGCAGCTGCGGGAGGATGCTGGGGTGCCGAGGGCGTTGGAGTCGCCCTTACGTGTGGGCTGAGACCGCAGGCCTCAGGGTGTTTGTGCTGAACCATCATCGCCTCCGAAGTCCTGCTGTGAAGTGAGTCGGTGGCTAGCGCAGACCAAGCCTGTGTGTAGGTACATACAGGAACTTTTGTGAGGATGGTGGTGCTGAGCAGGAGGTGTATTTCTCTGATGTACACCCACAAAGAAATTTCCCTGTATAGATAACAGTTTTAGTAGCATGATGACTGGTTACGGGTATAAGCATGGTGTGCACAGAGCTGGTTTGTTGTTGTAGCTGTTCTGCAAGTCTTCTCTAGCCTAGATCTGACCATGACATTCAGCGTGGCAGAGTGTGCCTGGGGTTGTTTAGACCATTCGTTCTCTAAGTAGGCACTAGAGACTTCACATGTGGCTACCAGGCAAATATTTAACTTTTGTAACTGCTGTGTCTGGAGGAGCTGTGGCCACTGCTAATTTTCTGCATGTGTGACCACAGCAAAAGTTGAAAGAGTGCATGAGTCCCTAAGCTCAAAGGCTTTCATTTACAGAGATCTGATCCAATTTCATATCCCCATCCATGCATATAATTATATGTAGCTATTGTTCTTTTGTTGGCTTTTTCTTTGTATTGGTAAATATAAAGCTTGGCTTTGTGGTGGTGCTCGGTCTGCACTAAAGTTCACTTTATAGTGGCAGGCATGCATTGCTGACAGATTCAAATTATGCCTTAAGTATGCACACAAATTGCATCTACCTCATTAGGGCAAATTAGAAATAAACTGATTTCATGGTGTGAACAGAAGGTAGTTGCACTAATTTACTAGTTGCTAAGGTGGCTTGCTTAAACTGTTGAAGGACTAAAGCTTTGCTAACAATATCATAATCCTGTGTGGCAGAACAGGCTAGGGAAAAAGAAAAAGAAGCGGCTTTACTCAGTGTGAAGATACAAAGTACCTTCACAGTGCATCACATCAGCTCCATTTTCAATATATTGATTTCATCTACTTAAGATTTTAGAGTAATTTCATCACCGTGTATTATCACAGGCCTGTTGAAAAGCATTGTTCTGAAATATTTTTAATGTTGTCAGTTGTTTCAATAATGTCTGTTGAAGTACTAAGGTTTCATTCATCTTAATTGACAAATATCTGATGATAGCATTGGCTCTTACATGCTAACAACAAGAAGTAAGTTACCTAAAATAAACTTTGATGTTTGCTAACTGCTGTATCTAGTTATAGAGTGTTATTTGCCGGAAGAGTGCTTAGTTCTCAACTTTGATGGTTTTAAAAATTATTTTTAAAAATCTGCACTTCATGTTGCATTATCAGTGTCAAACCAAACTCCACTAGTGAGTGGCTAGCTTAGGCTCTAATTTAGTTCATTGCCATTTTATGTCGTCTTAAGTGGTTCATTTTTGCAATTAAAAAGGTAAATTGCCACTATATTATTTTTTCTGTCTGTTCCAGATACTGTTCTTCCAAAGTTCAACATCGACTTTGTTGTAGCTCTGCTGAGGCAAGAAAATGCTAAAGATATCTGTGTCATCCAGCTACCTCCAGAAATAAAATACTGTGATTATTTTATAATTGTGAGCGGATCTTCAACACGACATCTTCATGCAATGGCACATTACATGCTGAAAATGGTAAGACAGTTCCCACTGCACTCTCTGAGTGTTGGGGAATGGTTTTAAAATGTTGCGAAAGGAATTTCCCCAGGATTGCACGTATAGGGGTGTACCAGGCAAGATGAAACTAATCCTTACATCATCTAGTCCTGAATACATGTAGCAACTAACTGTACTTTTTTCCTGTAGCAGTACTACTCAAATTGTAGAGAATATATTTTAAAAACAGCCCTCTCTGTACTTAGAACAGTGATGACATTAGCACAGTTCAGTGGCTAGAACAAGAGTGATGTGAAATGGTGATGATGACCTGTGTCCACTTTTGTCTTCTGTCCAGCAAGCTATTCCCACTCATTCAAAATAGCTTAATCTGTTCTCAAACGCCAATCCCAAAAATGTCCAGGTTCTCAGGTATATCATAAGGCTGGAAAAAAGACAGGGTGTTATGAGGCACAGGATCCCCTCATGGGCTTACTAAAGCAAACTGCTAGTTAATAGTCACCATCCTGTGCGTGTACAGGAGGAAAGGAGAAGCAGCAGCAGCCATCCTTGCAGAGCAATCTTGCTCTATTTGGCTTTGGCAGAGTGTGAGCTTTTCAGTACAAAAATAAAGGTCAGAATAAAAATAACAGGTAGAGCTTAGGAATAATAAGGACCAGACTCGGGGAGGGAGAAACTTTACAGCCAGAAATGAGCCAGCTGACTGTTACAAAGCACAGTGTGAGGAATATGACTAGCTCCCATCTCAGTCAGCTGTCTGTGCTCTTAACCTGTAGCTTGCCTTCTCTTCATGCACTTTCTTTCCCTTCCTGACCCTATTTTTGGCTCTTGGTTTTCTTTCTTCCTTCCAGTCCCATTGGTTTCAGCTGTGAGACTTGAGTGAAGGAAGGAGAGAGGGGGAGATGGTAATGCTTTTCAGTGCCTTTCTGAGCGGGTGAGGAGAGTTTCCTCTGCAGGAACTGATGCATCTTTGCAAACTAAAATTTTGCCTCAAGCTAGAAGTTCTATTAGTGTGATTTGAATGTACTAAATTTGAGTGCTTTGTATGTACTCTATTACTTGTATAACTTGCTGGTCTTAAATCAACAGCTCTCCATCTCCCCCAGACCAGGAGAGACCAGTGAATACCCAAACATGCAAAAACATGCCTGCGCTACAACTGGGTGCTGCCTCTGGTGGCTGTAAGAGCAGCTCTTCTGCAAGGGCAGAGCCCCTGGGGAGACCCAGTGTCCTCCTGGGCATCCCGAGAAACCGGGAAGCCTGGCCAAGTACTCGGGAGTGGCTGAGCTTGCCTGGCGTTGAAAGTTTTCTAGGCAAAGAGTAAGCTGAAGCTTCAGATGTGAAGCAGAGCAGGTGCTCGGGAGTGATGCTAGGCAGCTGGCTAGCTTTACTGTTACACTATCTAAAATGTTATGGTAATGCATGATTTACACTAAAGTGCAGGGATACTCATGTGTAGCGTGAGGTCTTCCCGCTTTTCTGCCAGTAGTTTGTAAATGGCAGTCTCAACTACTGCTTACCCCTTCCTGTCTGGTTTTGTGTTAGAGGAAGAAACTAATGCTTGGCTTTATTATAATCTGTTCACTATTACACAGCCTTTAAAGACAAGGCTGAAGGAGACTTGTAGTGGAGATTAGCCTTTCCAGCCTCTGTTACATAGCTGATGGCAGCGCATGCTGGGCTTTTTAGTATTTTAAGCAGACTTTCAGAGAGTCTTTGACAATTACCTGCCTTTGAGGATATCTCACAAGCTATCTTAAAGAAAGGAAGGTAGAACTAGTTCTGAATTACATTTTCAAAGTTCTCCACTCTGGTTTGCAAACTGCGGCCATTGTCCGGTAGCTAGCATTGTGTGGGAACGACCAGGAACAGTTGCATTTTGTGATAATTGCTTTACCAGTGAAGTAGGACTCATTTGCTAGCCAACCATGCTGTTACAACCTGTTACTTTGCATTTTGTCTTTCACAGCAGGAAGGACTGTTAAAGCCATGCAGTTTCACTCTCTGTTTCCTTGTGGCCTTGTGCTGAAATAAATGTTGTTTGGGTTTGTTTTGTTGGGTTTTTTTTTTTATTTCAGATTGACAAAAGTTCCCATTTTTTTTTTGATTGGCTGCTTCAACTAGAAATAAGGTAGAAATTTGAATAAAGGAGCTCTATGAAGATGCAGCTGACTTCATCCCATTTTTTTTTTTTCTATTGATGCTTTTTTTAAAGAAAGGAGTAGGTTATGGCTAGATCCAAAAGAGAAAGTACGTAAGCCTCTAGTTGTCAAATTTCTTCAGCTCTGGTGGATGCTTGGGTGCTTTATGTATCAGATGGGGAGAGGTGGGCCTCTCAAGCTGGCATCTATGAAAGCTGCCGTGTTGCATAGGGAACCCCCTACCTGCCCTTTTGCAGTCTAGCTTCGAGGTACCCTCTCCCCTATCTTGCAGCGCTTCATAGCTTGGAAACCTGTGTGCCGGTCCTGTTTTCCCCCCGTGTTGCAATGAGTGTGGAGAGCGTGCTCGCAAGAGGCAGGAGGCTTGTTTAAATGCCTTCCTCATGGCATGGGCTGAAACCTGTTTTCTCCCCACCCCCTCATCTGAGAAGAGGCTAAGCTTGGCATCTCCATTTCTGCATCTTGAACTAGCCAATGTAAAATAACAATGAAAGGTATCTGAAAGGAAATAAAACTTAGCGGTAATGCCAGTTACAGGCAACCTATAACTGAAAGACTAATGCTAAGCAATTGTATTCAATATTCACCTTGAGAAAACATGGACACCTCTAAAATTCATGGGAATTCTGAGCATTAGAGTTCCAGATTTGATACTAAATCCCACTGAGAAATCTGTACATACTTTGCACTGCTGCAAGCGTATATTATTCTTTTTTTTTGTGCAGACCCCAGGACCAACATTGAGTAATCTAACCCATTTCAGATTTAAAACAGCTCTAGGCAACTCAGCAAAGTTCAGCTTATCTGTTAGGTTTGAGTGCTTTTAAATAAATACAAAGTATTTCATTGTCTGCCATTGCTTCTCTCTCAGTACAAGCATCACAAAGAAGAAAGTGATCCTCATACTCAGATTGAAGGGAAGGAGACAGATGACTGGCTGTGCATTGATTTTGGTAAATATTTGTGAATCTGACAAATCTGAAGTTCTGCATGAGCTCTTTGTTGAAGGAAGCATCTCACCATGAGCCCTGGTTGCTGTGGAGAGTTCATAATACTCTGCTGTTTCGGAATTCCAGTTGTTGCTTGAACTCATTGAGATACTAAATAAGTTTTCACTAAAGATCATTGGCACCAAGAAGAAAGCCATAGCTACTCTTCAGTGGCTAAAACAGGTCTTAATAAATTGAAGATAACTGTAGTGGAAAGAGGAAAGCTACCTCAGTCAATTTTCTCAGGTTTTTATAATCCCTTTCTGGGGGAGTGGGGGCTTTTTGTATGCTGCCCTTATAGTGAACTTTTGAATAGACTTTTCCACTGTCCAGATCATGCCATGACGTGGGGTAAAACCTCAGTCCTAAGAAATTGAGTTTAATTCTTTATTCTACAAGTGTGAAACTCTCTACACAAACATAAAAGACTTTGCATTTAGAAAGCCTTTCTCCTTCACTGCTAGCTCTAGAATCTCACCCTCTACCTTTGTGTTTTGGCTTAAATGAGAGCACGGGTGGGTGAGGAGCACTGCAGCCAGTGACATTAAGCCTTGGTTACTTTACTGTCAATGATTTTGATAGTTACAACTAAAAACCAATTGAATTTTAAGGGCATAACTAGAAAAAAAAGTGCATTAGAAGTACACAGGAATTAAGATTCTCTACTATTGTTTGCACAAAATTAATGAAAACCTGTAAGAAAAACCTTACATCAAAGTTTGGAAAATTACTTGGCTGTAGCTGAATGTTGTTGGTAATACAAGAAAGCTGAAAGTCTGTCTGTAACCTTAGGGAGGGGACGCTTTCAATTAAAATTTCTTTCAGCTTTGTTCCTTCTGTCCCCTAGAAGTCGTAACTTCTTTGGTCTGGAGTCTTGTGATAGTGTTTTAATTTAAACCAGAATATTGTCCTCATTCTGCTGGCTGTAGTCTTGGAGTCTTTTAAAGAACTGACCAATTCCTAACTCTGGTCAAGAACTGGAATCAGTAACTTCAGAAGAGACCTCCATCAGCTGACCTGTTATATCTAGCCAGAATGGGGGGGGTGGAAGACTTGAACTCTTTGTACAGCTGGAAGTGTAGTAGTGCTTTACAGTTGACGTTGATTTATTGTGAATTTCTCTTCTGTGCAGGTAGCATAGTGATACATTTCATGCTGCTGGAGACACGAGAGGCATATGAATTGGAGAAGCTATGGACTCTCGGTTCCTATGATGACCAGTTAGCACAGATGACTCCACAGTCACTGCCAGAAGACTTTATATTTGGACTGACTCCTAACAGCAGTGATCATCTTGAGACAAGAACTGAATGCAACTGCTGAGTGGAAAGAGAAATGAGTGTGCCTTCACAGAGCTGAGAGATATACAGTCTTGATTACTGACTTGACAGTCACTACAGTTGATCAGGACAAAACTGTATTTATTGGATGTGCCTAGGTAAAGTTCTGAACAAGCTACAAAAATTATGAGAATCATAGAATCATTTAGGTTGGAAAAGACCCTTAAGATTGAGTCCAACCATAAAATGTCAAAGAAGGATTCCTATCATAAGGGAGCTTCCTAGGGGAGTCTCTGTCTCAATGGAGGTGGCAGTGAGAAGAGTAGGGCAAAGATAGACAGCTGCTTAAGCTACTTGCCCTAAAACTCATGCACAGCCTCTACAGTAATTGTTTTTCTAGTATCTTTGAAAGACCTGCCTGTAGTGGCAGTGCAAAAAAGTCTTGAGTGCTGCAAGGGAAAACTACAGGAAATAGTACAGTTTAGGTGAGGCTTCTTGTATTAAGCCATTTGCTCCTGGTCATAATGAAGCAAGTCATGCTCTGAGTTGAAGAATAAGAGAAAACAGACTGGTGTTCCTGAGCACGTAAAAGTCAAGAGCAGCAGTGACAAATAAACTGATCTTGAGTTAAGCAGAACAGTAAGTCAGTTTTTCTGCCAAGGCCAGTCTGGTTTTAATTAAAAAAAAAAAAAACCACCTGAAGAGCTTCAATTCCTTGTCTTCATGTTAAAACATTCAGCTCATTCTAAGCATGCAGTTGGCCCCTCTCCTCAGTTTTCCTCTCACCCAGTTTCTGGAGAAGGACACTGAGGCAACATGCTATGGCAGTGTAAACCTTCAGCTCCTTTGAAGTCGGTGAAAGTAGTTCTAAAGGCAGCCCTTAGTCACTGAGCATTACTCGCTGCTGGTGGACTGTTCAGCACTTCCAGAAGTCGTTGTGCAGTGTGTTCTTAGTCTGACTGCTGTATGGTCTAATAACTCGTTAGAACAACTTCAATGTGGTAACAAAACTTGTCTATGTAAAGCAAGATGCTTTTCTCCACTACAGGACAGGGCTTTCATCATTAGATTAGGCTCTCTTCCTTTTGGAGAAGCTTGCTCTGCTATGCATCAGGAAGCAGGAACCCTGAGGGCAATCACCCTTTTTCCCCCCACAGCCCCACAAAAAACTTGAAGCTCTGTCTGCATCTCTTCCCTGCACAGCAGCTGCTGTTTGTAATGCTCAGAGAACACGACTTTGGTTTCTGCTCATGGGGTTGTGTTGTTTAGGGGGAATTAGGGGGAAGGGGGTGTGTGTGTGTGTGTGGGGGGGGGGGGGGTAAAAAAAAAAAAAAAAAAAAAACCAAACAACCTTTTCCCTCATTTCAGACCAATCATGTTTTCTTGCTCTCAAGCCTCTGTTCTTTCAGGAGTAACTGTCCCCGAGTTCACCTGGTTCTTTGATGGGAAGTAGCAGATAGTTCTGCAAATGAAGGAAGGAGCATTTATGAAATGTAGTTAACTATGCAGATAAAGCATCTTTGCCTACAAAATAAAGGTATTGGTGGTAAATCTGACTGCAAAGAAAGATTTTTCAGAATGCTTCATGATACTTGGCAGTAAGTAAATCCACATGGGGGAAAGATAACCTTGGCTGTCTTACAGAGTGATGGGTTCTAAATCAGGCATTTCTTCCTAGGAGGGATACGTAGGAGTAACTTTGGATCATTCTCTGAAACCATTTGCCTTTTACTGCTGCTGCTGAAGATAAGTAATACTAGATGAATAGAGGCAGATTCAGCAAACATTACACCATTATATGAACCGACATTTAGGAACCAGAATCACATACAGTATCCTGTCTCAAAAAGCACAGTAACAAAAGGAGCGCCCAGAAAAGAACAGTAAGAGATGTGTGAACAGACTAGGACTCTTACAGCTGGAAAGGGGCAATAGTCTGTAAGAGAAGACAAAAAAAAAAAATCAAATTAACTGAGGAGACAAAACCCAGTAAAATCAGTGAAAAAGTATGACTGAATTTACTGCGAAAGCACATTGTGAAAAGGAGTTATATGGAACATCCACTGGTTGCTATTAAATAATCAGAACTGCCAGCTCAGGAAAAGAACTTCCTCATCCCCCATTTAACAGAAGCAGTCATCATCTGTGCCAAGCTGCTGCCATGCCCTAGGCAGGTTACCTGCCTGACTTGGTGAGCCTTTGGCCCGACCCTCTTAAGACCTGGGAATTAACAGTCTGAATGATCAGTACTGTGCAACAGTAAAACCCTTTTGGAAGGAAAACATTTGGGAACGGTTTCAGTTCTACCTATCAGGTGATTTCTGTGTAAAATAAAAATACTGAGCAGCTTGTCCGATGAGTTTATAGATTCATCCTGTGCAGAGGTACCTGCAGGTTTGGCTCTGTGCGGGATCCCTTGATGATGGGATGAACAGGAGAAACAATTACCAAGTTGAAGCTTTTGACATCATTTCACCAATTTCCCACACCCCATTTGAGCAACTTTGTTATCAAGCAGTGTTTGCATTCATCAGTTGACCTAACGTCTTTGTTACAGCCCAGCTTGAGCGCTTACTCCACAATTTTTCCTGTTCGTTTAAAAATCCTGTGCCCTAGTACCATGTCAAGACCATGCTGTCCTGCACAGCATACATGCTTCATTTAATGGAAACTAATACAAAGAGCGCATGCCTTTGAAATTGCAGCTTAGGAATAAAAGCTTTGGAAGGTTAGAAGCAAATAAAAGCATCATGATTAAGCAAATGCTTAAAACAGTCAGGGGTTTAGCTGTCACAGATGCACCAGCGATACAGAGGAAGGCTTAGCTTCTTATGTTGCTCAAATGGCAGGGCTGCCAGTTCTGAAAAAGATAGCTCAATATTGGCATGAAAAATGAGCTTGGAGTTCCCTGTGAAATGCAGTACCCTATGCAGTGTCTTCTACAGACATCATTTCAAGTCCCTCTTTGTGCTGGTTGGTCCCAGTAAATGAGCTGTGAAGACAAGTGGGAGGGTGCAAGAGTTTGGAAACCAAGTTTGGTTTTCCACTCCTTTAAAATATACAGAATTGTATTATTCATGACACTCCTTCATTCCCCACCCCTCCCTCTCACCAAAGCATTCTGTAAAACATCTAGTCTCATTTCTATTGCAAATAATGTTAACAAGGATCTAAATGGAGAGGCAATGCCACCTCACTGGCAATTGGTGTGCATTTGGGTCGTGGTGGTAGGAGCGAGATAGAGGTTGCCATCACATTTGCTTGCTAGTGTGGCTGGTTCTGCCTATCCAAGCTTCTAGGGCCATGTTCATTACACAGCTTCATCACACTGACAGCACCAAAGTAAAGACTAGGTAAAAAGCAGCCAAAAAGAAAAAAAAAAAAAAAAGAGAAAACATTTAGCTACAATTCAGATCTTGCTTCAAACCTGTTAAAGATTCCTTCATGTTTGCCCTGGAGCAAGACTGTTGAATAGACATCCCTTCCACAGCAAACCGGCCTAAATGATCTGTGTAAGATCAAAACCATGAACTATAGAATCATTTAGGTTGGAAAAGACCTTTAAGATCATCCAGTCCAACCATTAACCTAACACTACCAAGTCCACCACTAAACCAATTAAGGGCAGAGTAATAATTTCATGTTTCCTGGCTTGGTGGCTGGATTATTTTTAATTAAAGTAGAAACTGGGAATCATTAAGATTGGAAAGGACCTCTAAGATCATCAGTCCAACCATCAACCCAACACCACCATGCCCACTAAACCATGTCCTGAAGTGCCACATCTACCCATTTTTTGAACATTTCCAGGGATGGTGACTCCACCACCTCTCTGGGCAGCCTGTTCCAATGCTTGACTACTCTTTTCATTAAGAAATTTTTCCTAATATCCAATTTAAGCCTCCCCTGGCACAGCTTGAGGCCATTTCATCTCATCCTATCATTAGTTACTTGGGAGAAGAGACCAACCCCCACCTCACTACAACCTCCTTTCAGGTAGTTGTAGAGAGCGATAAGGTCTCCCCTCAGCCTCCTCTTCTCCAGGCTAAACGACCCCAGTTCCCTCAGCTGCTTATGCAGCTGGACCCTTCAATAAGACCTGTGCTCTAGACCCTTCACCAGCTTTGTTGCCCTTCTCTGGGCACGCCTTAGCACCTCGATATCTGTCTTGTACTGAGGGGCCCAAAACTGGACACAGTATTCCAGGTGCAGCCTCACAGTTATCAAGGTGTGATCTATAGGCTGCACTACAGACTGTATAGCACTGTTGTACAAGAGGGAGATGAATTATAAGCCACAGAAGTCACTGCTTGTGCAAACACTGGCTGCTGGATGGCCTAGTGGCTATGGAGTACCTGTGGGTGACTGTTCATCCTTATCCAGTTACTATGGACAGAAAACCAGCTTGATCAAAGCAGCGCAAATACTTAGAACAGTCTGTCCCTATGCCTCATCAGTTTAAAAAAACACCACACAACTTTATCTGATGATAGGAGTTAAACTCTTTATTCCATTCAGAGGCATCTGGCAAGTGGAGCTGCATTGGGGGGCACATTACAGATGAAAAATGATCCATACTTTGTGGATATTGAAATCATTTACAGTATTTACTTTCTAGCTATTCCCAAATACTCCAAATTACCAAGTCTCAATTGAAAAGAAAAACATGATTTACCATACTAAGTCTAGAAATTTAAGAGATGACAGTATTTAAATCAGCAGATGTAAATGCAGCGCCTATTTGTAAAGTAATTTTTATGGAAAATAACGAAGTCAAATCCTTCTCAAATGTTAAGAAAGGAACGTCAGACTGACTTAAGCCTCAACAAAAATTAAAATGCTATGACTTTTCATACTTCAGTAATTTTAAATTCATTGTAAGAAAAAAAAAATTATCCTAAAGGCTAGATGAAAGTCACTGTCAAAAAAGGAAAAGAAACTCATTTTTCTTTGCTAAAACTACAACATAAGTTTGTGGTTTTTAAACCAATTAGTAAAGAAGAGATGCAGGAAAAACACTTCAGACCATTTTCAAAATTATCT